ATTTTTAATATTCTGAACAGTAATACCATTTCAGAATCTAGAAATTCAGCTTGAGTTCAATTCTTTCCTTTATTTGTAGTTACGAGTTGAAGTCGTCAAGCGAGTTGCCAGGTGATTGGTTACCGCCACCATTGTTGTTACAGCAGTTAGAAGACAATGAGGATATAAGAAGTTTGGCAGGTAGAATCAGATTATTAGGATTTGTATAAACTATTAAGTTTTCGTTGGTAGTAAATTTTGTGATTTGATGTTTTATCATAATGTTTTTTGATGTTCATGAAATGAAAATTTTATGTAAGTCACTTTGACTTTATGCCTTTAGAAATCCAGTGAAATATTTACTGCTACTAAAGATTTTCATCTACTGATAATTTGTACAATAGTAAAAGTACCAAACAAGATATATTTACAAAGACATATTTTGTATAAATTGACTGCTTTTTCATGCATTTTTTACCTTGCCCGTAACATCAAAGATGGAAGGGAAAGGTATATTAAGGGAACTATTTCTGTCAGTTGTTGTTGTCATCGTTGTCGTCGTCGTTATTGTGTTTTTGTAATAGTTCTATCATGCATCATGGGATACATATGTATGTTGATTTCTTCATGATCAAATTCAAGAAGATTGAATAACACCATTTATGTGATAAAAATTCATCAAAATCGAGCGTTTCTGCCATTCTGGAATCAAATATTAGTCTACTCAGATTCAAAATGATTGATTGGCATATACTGTTTCTTTTATTCCGAAGCCAAATCTTGGATGGATTTTCTTTAAACTTGGTGCATACATCGGACATTACAGGACCTTTATGCACATAAATTTTTGTTCCGGTTCATATTCAAAATAACCAACCAACAGTCATTTTGTTTTAATGAATATTAATATCTGACATATGGTGACTCCCTATATTGTATTTGCTCTATTAGTAGCATGTACTTGTGTGTAATTTACAGTAGTGTTTTTTATGGTCAGAATAAGTAATTATAGATTCAGTATAAAACAATAGAACAAATAACTTATTAGAGATTCATGCACCTGCCACAAATAGTCTAAGAGTTCTCACATATGCAATATTAATTTGTAACATTTTCTTTCAGATTCAGAGAAAGCAGAGACTGAATCCATTCGTTCTGATAGTACTACATTAAGTAGCAAGTCTCGCAGTACAACTAAAACATCACCGATCTCAAAAATTGCAAAAAAGCTTGTCAGAAACTCTCAATGTTCTCCACGTAAGTATTAATATTTCTTTTATGATAATCTGGCCACATTTAAATTTCTCTAAAAATAACAAACTTAATTTTTTTAGCCCTCGGGCGGGGGGGTATTAATTTGGGTCGTGTCTGTGCACATCATCAAGTTATTTTTTCGATTCTTCAAAGTTTCACTGTGTTTTTCCTTGATTTTTAACATATTTCCTTCAAAACTACTGGAAAATCCGACCTTTCCCAAAATTACCTGAGTTTAATCCGAGTTTTGATGACGCTTACGCAGTTCTCGTCTCGGTGGAAATCAGTCATTTTTGTGAGGATATTGTATCCCGGAATTGTATCTTTATTTGTGCAACGCTTATATGGACAAAATTGTGTCTCGTCAACTTCAAAGGTAAGCACCTGTGCTTGTTATGGTATTTATACACTTTGTATTATCGTTTGTGTCTTGGGTTTGGTGATCGTGAGAAAATATTGCTAACCTGGTGAGAGTTTCGCCAGAAAAACTGCCTTTTTATTATTGTAGGAACTGATTATGTATTGTGTAAATTGAAAGTTTACCTCGTGATTTAAGAGGTTTGCAGTGCTCTCACCGGGATTCAAACGTGGTGGTGTCGCTGCAATGCTGCTCTGAGACGCTTGCCAGACTCTGCCTCACTCAAAATCATTATCGCCATGCTTGATTTCCGCAACATTTACATTTGTTTATGATTTCCACAGCTATTGTTCTATGAGATGCGTCCTCGCTGTTCATAAACAGCCATAAACAAGTTTAGTTTGGTCGGCATGTACTCATTGAAAGTGTTGGTTTATTTACGTAATCCACTGATCACGCAATAGGCGAAGTTAAAAATATGTCGCTACTCAGGAGAGCTTGCCCACAACACTAAATGTCCCAATATAAACGTACCGGTACGTTTATTTTTTCCACAGAAAAATTCCAGCCGGTACATTTTTATTTGGGACGGTACGTTTATTTATTTTTCTAAATCGGGCTGATTAAAAAAAAATCATGCCTTTTTCCCCATGAGAATCGAAGCCAAAAGATCGCACTAAAACATCGGTAAATCTGGTCTTCCGTGTTGCTTTCACCATGAGGTCGCTGAACTGTCATATTTAAATGCTTTATGGTAATTTGAGCACATGGGCACCATCCAGCATTTTGATTGGTTGATTAGCGACTTGACCTATCTGGTCAATAAACATGCCTCGTGGGCATGGATAACATGGCGGATATTGTCTCATCGAGCGTTAACATGTAACCGAAAACATTTGCTTACGATAAAACTAAGTTAAATTTTACTTGCATTTCATAACAATTCAACGAATTTATTTTTTGTACGTTAATATAATCACTACTGAGTACTAATCAACAATTACAACACTTCGAAAACAAGTAAGCTACCGTACCGTGATGATTTGCTACCAACAAAAAAATAATGCATAATAAATATAGTGACTATTTTTTGTTGTCATGTGAACAGTTTTTGACTCCCGTGTGCGAAGCACAAAAGGGAGTCTTTGCAGTTACCCTGTCTGTATGTCTGTATGTATGTATGTATGTATGTCACTTTTTTTGTTCCACCGTTATCTCAAGAACCACTAATCAAATTTTCGTGAAACTTGGTACATAGATGCTCTGGGATGATGCGCAGAGTTCATTAGGTTTTGGTAAAAATCTATGAATATTAATTACCTAATTTGCATGATAATTAGCTGATTTTTAGCTGTTCCATGACTGTTCCACTGATATCTGAAGAACCACTCATTGGATTTTGATGAAACTTGGCACATGGATGCTCTGAACTAGTGCGCAGATTTGATTAGTTTTGGGTAAAAATCTATGAATATTAATTACCTAATTTGAATGATAATTAACTGATTTCAAGCTGTTCCATGACTTTTCCACTGATCTTTGAAGAACCACTCATAGGATTTTGATGAAACTTGGCACATGGATGCTCTGAACTAGTGCGCAGATTTGATTAGTTTGGGGGAAAAATCTATGAATATTTATTACCTAATTTGCATGATAATTAACTGATTTCAAGCTGTTCCATGACTGTTTCACTGATTTTTGAAGAACCACTCATTGGATTTCAATGAAACTTGGCACATGGATGCTCTGAACTAATGCGCAGATTTGATTATTTTTGGGTAAAAATCTGTTAATATTATTAATTACCTAATTTACATAATGATTAATCAATTTTCGGCTTTTCCATTGATATCTCAAGTACTAATCATAACATGTCAATAAAACTTGGTACATATATGTCATATGACACTGCACAGACCTGATAGTTTTTAGGGTAATATCAGTACATATTAATTACCTAATTTGCATAATTAAGTGTGATTTTGGCTTGCTAAAATCGATTTTGTAAAATGCCCTGAGTTTGGAGTCTAATCCGGATTCTGGCCGTCTTGCCTTCAGCCTATCACAGCTCGTTTATTTTGACCTATCACAGCTTTG